GTAGGATAATATACTTGGCATGTACACAAAAAGCAGGGTGACTGCACATAAAACTAAGCTTGTTCTCTCTGCTCAGGGTCATTTCTAGCCTTTTCTTTGAGTAGGATAGTCTAGCAAGCTCTCCTACAGTGCCAGTCATCCTGGAATGCATAAACATCTGCTTTTAGATCTGGGGATTTCACCAGGGGCACAGAATGTGTTACTGGCTCACCCCAATGCCAGGTTGAAACCCCTTTCTAGTCCACTGCATATCTACCTACAATTATGCTGGCAAGTGTTCATTTGTACATTTTAGGTTTTTATAAGAATCTTCCTGCAATTTCCACCCTGTTAGAAACCTAAGGCCTAAATGGATGTGTACAATTACTGGAATAAATGTTAGGATAATATACCATAGTAATACTCAAGGCACTATGACTGACGTGAGCAGGATCGCTCTCTGGGCCCTGTTCATCTAAATTTGATGGCAAAATCTACTGGCATGTACTTTCAACCATAGTAGAGTTCTAATGAAAATGTTAAAACTTGGTAATAATAAAAAATGTTTAAAAAAGCAAACAATAATGATGGTGGTTAATGTGGTTTTTTCTAATCTGCATAGCATTGTGCAGATAACAAATACTTAGATATTTTACAAAGTGGGATAGATGTTGGCCTTGTTTTTGATTCTCCAAGATAATTTATAAACTAAAGTTTAGATGTAACTCTTGCAAGATATTCCTAACTAAAAAAATATACCATGCATCACAGGCTGAACAGTTTGCGTATGCATTGGACCCATTGTTTTGGTAAAAAGATGCAATGCTATTGTAAGGGAGCACCTGTACCCAGAGTGGTACCTCCGCCGTAGTCTCTCGCAGATTCCGCAAGGAATAGTGAATTATATTCTCATATACCCAAACATCAGTAGAGACATGATGAAGGATACAAAAACTGGTTTAATTAGGCAAAAGCACATACATTTATACACAGACTCCCAGCATGGGGTCTCCATTCAGAACAACCTATGCTTGCCCAGGCGCCTCGGTGTCTGGGAGGTTATTAAGTTAGTCCTCGGTAAACTAATTATCTACCGGATACAAAGAGCGCAATACAAAAATACCCCCAAAACACCCATTAAACAAAAACCTACCCCTACATGTCATATACCCCCTGAGTGGTCTGATCTGAGCACCCATTCTGTGAAAATAATGATCAAATCCATGTGGTACTGTTGAAGCGCCATTGCCTCAAAGTTTTAGACGACCGCTGAAAGGAGTTCCATGCATTCGGCAACAATTATCGGTGTTTCAACGGGAGGCATATGTCTTTGTTGCAAGAGAGCTCCAAAAAGTGCCTTCCTAGGACACTGGGATGGTAGGGAAAATAGTGGCATAATGCGACTGGGAAAACCAGGGTAGCATGGTTTCAGAGTGCGTTTAGGTTAGTCCTGCTGGTGGTGCCTGAACACTCTGGCTCTTGGTGAGTGTCTTGTGGGATAGAGAACAGGGACATTACATAGTTACATAGTTACATAGCTGAAAAGAGACTTTCGTCCATCAAGTTCAGCCTTCCTCACATATGTTTTTGCTGTTGATCCAAAAGAAGGCAAAAAGCCTAGTCTCAAGCGCTTTAAATTTGGCAACAAACTAGGAAAAAATTCAGTCAGTCAGATGTCTACTTGGATCAAGCAGCTCTTACCCCACTAATTAGAAATGATATCTCTGTATGTTATGTTTTTGCAAGTATTTATCCAATTGCAGTTTAAACATCTGTATAGACTCTGACAAAACCACCTCTTCAGGCAGAGAATTCCATATCCTTATTGCTCTTACTGTAAAAAAACCTCTTCTTTGCCTTAAATGAAATCTCCTTTCTTCAAGCCTAAATGTATGACCTCGTGTCCTATGTATAGCCCTGTTTATGAATAGATTTCCCGATAAAGGTTTGTACTGGTCCCGAATATATTTGTATAATGTTATCATATCCCCTCTCAAGAGATTTACATTTTTTTTTACCTTTCTTCGTAACTAAAATGCTCCATTCCTTTTATCAATGTTGTAGCTTGCATCTTTCTTTAGAACAGGTGCCCAAAATTGTACAGCATATTCACGGTGTGGTCGTACCAGTGATTTATAAAGAGGCAAAATTATATTTTCATCCCGAGAATTTATGCCCCTATTTATACATGACAAAACCTTACTGGCCTTAGCAATTGCAGATTGACATTGCATATTGCTGTTTAATTTGTTGTCTATAACAATCCCCAAATCCTTCTCGTGTGTGGTTATCCCTAATTCACTACCATTTATAGGATGCCTCTGATTTGTCTAATTTAAATGCTTTAACCCCTTAAGGACACATGACATGTGTGACATGTCATGATTCCCTTTTATTCCAGAAGTTTGGTCCTTAAGGGGTTAAATGCCCTTTTCTTATTTTTAATCTCTTGTTTTACTTCCCTACTAAGCCACATTGGTTTTAATTTGTTTCTTTTATATTTATTACCCAATGGTACATACTGAGACATTGGTGAGGGGTACACCTAGGGTAGTGGGGTAACCAGGGGAAACTTATTATAGTTTATAGTGGAGTATAGTCCTTTAGGAGTGATTTCTTCACAGCTATGTTTTTTGTCCACAATTTTACAGCCAAACATGAACTTCAGAGCACAGTATTAACTGTTGGTCAATTGAGGAGTCTCTGGAAGCAGTTTAAGCTGTAGGTATTACAAGTTAGCATGTTTATCTCCAATGTTAATATTAGTGTAGGTCTCACCGATATTGGGGTACTGTGACGTAGTGGTGGGCTTAACACAATATGGTCATATGGTGTAACTGAATATTTGTTTATTAAGATTGGTGATTTTAGGTAGCCTTGTAAAATTTTAAACTGTGTTTGTGTGTGCGCTGTTCCTTTAGCTGTATTTTCTATAAATTTTGGTCTTTACGGCAGCACCACTACTTAGAAACACATGTTCCAGGTGTGCCCCCAATTCCCATTTTTTCAAAGTCCAAAACATTGGTGAAAGCTACCACTTTTGGAGCATTTCTATTGTATATTTTTTAAACATTTCCATCTAAAGGGGTTGTCTCTTTTACCAATATCCTAAAAGTAACAAAAAATAAATAAATCCCTAAAAATTAACATTTGTTGGTGTGAAGTTGATCCCTCACAGTTCTGTGTGGCTACAGCTTGATGAAGGCAGATCTAAATGCTGTATCTACAAACATCTGCCATCCATTTCGATATATAGGACAAACAATAACCATTCAGAGTTGTTGTTTCAACATTCATGTTGACACAAAACTATACTCAACAGAGTAGGATGAAAGTCTGATGAAACAAGATTTTACAACCAAACAGAGGGAGACATGCATGCTTGTTTTGTAAACACACAATTGAATTCTGTTCGGCCTCAGGTGACATGGCAAGGAACACATCATTGTAACTTCCTGGCAATATGTAATAAAACGTGTTCTGTGAAGTATCATGACACAAACAAGTAAAGGAATTTAACTTACAGTGCATTGTGTCCTTTTTAGTGCATTTTTAACTTTAATGAATATCTGTTTAAAATCTTCAATATATATTGTTGTGTAGAGCTATTATATACTCATTTACTCAAACTCTGAGGGAAGAATGACAGATAAGGACTGCCTCTCTTAAAGAGGGCCAGTTGGCAGGTATGTAAATATCAGCATTGACCTATAAAATGCAGCATGCATTGAAAGAGTGCATATACAAGTGTTATAAGAAAAATCATGTGAATACTATAACAACCATAAAGGGATACATTAAAAACACATCAAATAAGAAGATTAAATATGATCAGATTAAAACTATATACCACATACAGTATATATTGCCAATGCACATGCCATAAATTACAACAAACGAAACAATGCAAAGCAATGTATTTATTATTTATTTTTTGTAAATTAGTGTTCTATTGCAATTCAGGAGCACATGTAACAAGCAATTTAATCATACACGCAGGACCGTATTAATAAACAGATTACAGGTTTTTAGAAACGCAGGGCTATTACATTATTTCTTGAAGTAAGTTCGGACTTGCAGGTCCAATAGAAGACCATGATGAATGAAAGTGTAAAACATAAAACAATTAACTAGCATGAAACAAAGGCCCTCAAACCCCTAATAAGTAGACGGGGAGCAGAGGTCATAGCGACTGCCAGTGGGCCGCGCTGCGACCTTTATTTTGCAATATTAATAGCGATAATCAACAGCTGTTTACTGTAAACTTGCATCTCCCTACGCCTTCCCGTCACGCTGTTGAAAATTTGTATTCATTCATGAGAACAAGGCCGCCACAACCAGAACGATGAGAGAGAAAGCAATGAGTAAGAATGAGCGAGGGAGTTTCATCTCCCCGATCAGGGTGGATATACCCAACCGGTGACCAAAGACCTCCCTTAAATCTGGTCCCACTCTCCGGCTGAGCTCTCCCTCCCCTCGAAAGTGGTGGCAGACACCCGTAAGTCAGCAGTCTCTGAAAATCAGTGTGGTAACCACCGTCAATCACCGTGTCCATACAAGTCTGAAGTTGACCCTGTCCTCCAACTTGTGTAAGTCTTTCATCTTTTTAAACCATCTTTGTTCCAATATAGGTGCAATACCTGCTTTGCGGTATTTGATATACAAACAGTGAGGAATTTCTTATACTTAGAAGTGTGCATGGTAGTGTGGTTTAAGAGATAAGGAGCCAGTTGGAAGGGAGGGGTCTATCTGAAAACCTCGACAGGATCACATGGATCACCTGCTAGAAAGGTGTGATCTTGGAGCATTCCCACCATATATGTAGGAATGGTGTGACAGCCCAGACTGGTGTGACAGCGCCATCACTCGTCACTCAATGTAGAATCTATGCGCTGCATGGATTGTGGCTTCCTATACCACATGGTTAAAACCTTGTGCTTGCAAGTGCACAGATATGGACAAGGTCACAGATCTTGCCCCATTGTTGGTCAGTAAAGGTTTCCCCAACTGCAATTTCCCACTTGCCCATGTCCGAAGGTGATGGGAGGCTCCTGTTCTGTAAGAGCATGGAGAATAGGTAGGATAAAGCATTTAGGAGACGGTCAGGGTCGTCTCCCAGTTTCTCAAAACGGGTCAGTGCCATATATAAGTCAGATTTTCGAGGTATAAGGGTCATGAATTGTTTGAGTTGTTCGAACTTCAGTCTGAGTAGAAAGGTGTCTCTTATGTCGCACAGAAAATCACTGATAGACCTAAGTTGGTTTCCTGTCAGTAGGTGTTGGGCCTCTACATGAAACTGTGGAAGTAAGCATGCAAAGCCTGTGGTTCTAAGCCTGGGGTAAATGCCGGGTTATTCGTTATGGAGTAAAGTGGGGAGGGGAAGGAGGAGAGACCCATTTTCTAAGCGATCCTATGCCAGATAGTCAAAGTTGCTTTTACAAATGGCTGGTGTCACGAGAACTTTCTACTCTCTGCTGGAGACCTCAATGTCAACGCATTCAGGGAGCCTCCATTCTGAGCTTGTTCGATCTCTTTCCACAGCTTGTTAACCCCATCCTTAACCCATTTCAATACTCTCTGTAGGTGGGAGGACTGATAATATAGTGGAAGGTCGGGAACTGCCAAAACCCATCAGCTGTAGGCCTTGTCAGCACTTGGTATTTCAGTCAGGGAATGCTGGCACATCAGATATATGTGATTAGAAGAGATCTGAGAGATGTGAAGTATGCAGTCGGGATCTCAATGGGCAGCATCTGGAAGTATTGAATGCGCAGTAAGAGGTTCATCTTTGTTACTGCAATGCGACCCAGCCATGACAGATGAGGGAGCCTCAAGGCCTCGAGATCTTTCCAAAATGTGGTTAGGATAGGGATGAAATTAGTTTGGTATAACCAAGAGAGATGATTGGTAACCCAGATTCCCAGATATTTGATTGCTTTTTCAGCCCAGTGGAACTGGAAGCTCCTTTGTAGGATGTCGGCCCTTTTGTGTGGTAGATTAATATTGAGTAGGTTGAATTTAGTATAGTTGATATTAAAGTTGAATAACTTGCCACATATGCTGAATTCCCACATAATGTTAGGAAGCAATGAATAAGATGCAAAGCAATGTATTATACAGCAAGCAAAGAGCTAACTATACTTCCCAGAAGAACTACATTAAGCTGTAGTTGTTCTGGTGACTATAGTGTCCCTTTAATAAAAATATAAATTTTTCTGAATGTACATCCTCTGCTTAAAATTTGTTAGCTAGGTGAGAAAACAATTGCCATTCAGAATTCCTAATAACGTGCACTTATCCATAGGAATCTACGTAGAAAACAATAATTTCATTCAGGAGAAATATGTGCAACATTTAATTTACAAATCTCACATCACTATTGTGTAACTAAATACCAAAGTGATGGTGCTTCCCTCTAATGCCAAGACAATTCTCTAAACTGTGGGATTACTGAAGCGGATACAGTTACTCAGCAATAATTCAATGTGAAATCTTGGAAATGTTGCCAAATCATGAGCAGGCTGTAAAAATATCAACCCCATCCTTTGCCAAAATAGTCAATGGCCTTGCCACCAATGACTGTCAGAGCCACCGTCTAATCTTGCTTTCCCACATGTTCAACTTGCAGAAAACAAATTAAGTTGAAAAGAAATGCTCTGTCTTTTCATATTGTTTATCTTAGTGCGCAGTGTTTCTGTTTTTGTTGGCATACATTATACATATTGTATTGCATACAATTTTATTCAGATTTATTTTGTATCTTGTGTTCTTTCTTTCTGTTTTTACTGGAAAAGAATTTAAAAAACTGCTCTTGCACAAACAAAGTTCTATAAAACATTGTGTTACCCTTCCTTGCCCCCATTCACTTACACAGAATATTAGACTTTTCAAGAGAAATGTGATTGCGACCTCAAAATATGTTAGATCATCTGTGAAGATTGGATGAGGAAATGCTGACATCTCATACTTTATGGCTTAACATGGTTGTAGTTAAAATAAGAGATATAATGGAATTATTATTTAAAGAAACACAATAGCAGGAATTGATTTCCCATTTGACATGCATGATATAGTAAAAAATAAGGAAAAGGTAAAGCACATTAAAAAAACAACAACTTGAATTACTTGTGACACTTGCACATCCAAGTGCTACAAGGTACTGGCGTGACCCTATATATCACCCACTTCAACTAATACTATATGTCAACATATTCTTGCACTAGCATGCTTATAAAAAAGCTATATGACCTTGAAAATTGAACCAGAATATGAATTAAGATTCATCTTCATGTTCATCTGATATTAGCATTTTCCTTTCTACCCAGCTGTTAGAATCCTCTGTTATTCATTCTAGTCTTCTAGGGATACTATAGGCAGCAAAACAACTTAATGAAACAGTTTGGTGAATAGGTCATGTCCCTGCAGTTTCATTTAGGAGTTAATTTTGTTTCTACAGCTCTAATCACACTTCCCTGCATGTGAATTTCACATCCTTCCTAAACACTTCCTGTAAAAAGAGATCTGATGTTTAAACTTCCTTTATTGCACATTTTGTTAAAGTTAGAATGTATTATCTCCTGCTATATTAATAGCCTACTAAACCCTGCATGATGCACCTGTGTGTGATTAAAGTTCAATTTACAGATTAATAGATACAAACTTCTGATGCACATTAAAGGGATACTATATGCATCAAAACAACTTTAGCTTAGTGAAGAAGTTTAAGTGTATATAGATCATGCCCTTGCAGTCTCACTGACCAATTATCTGCCATTTAGGAGTTAAACTCACTTTTGTTTCTGTTTATGCAGCCATTGCCATGCCTCCCCTGGCTGTGACTTACATAGCCTGCATTCAAAATGGTTTTATTTTCATTTAGATCTTATCTTACTTTAGAAGTTTTCCCTCCTGCTCTGTATATTGAAGTTTAATAACACACGGGAGGCTTCTGCAGAGTCTAGATGCCTATAAACAGAGCAGGAGTTAAATTACACAGAATGTGCGATAAAGGAAGTTTAAACATTAGAGCTCTCTTTACAGGAAGTGTTGAGGGTGGCTGTGTAAGTCACATGCAGGGGAGGTGTGACTAGGGCTGCATAGGCAGAAACTAAAGTGATTTAACTCCTAAATAGCAGAAAATTGAGCCATGAGACTGCAGGGGCATGATCTATACACCAAAATGGCTTTATTAAGATAAGTTGTTTTGAAGCCTATATTATTAATTTAATGATGGGTGAAAATTAGGAAATTGCATCATGGCCACTGTGGTGCTAAGAGCACAAACTAAATTCTAGCAGCAAACAAGCAGTTTTAGAAGCAGCCAACTCAGAAAGGCTAGCTTCATAGTCCTCATTAGAAAAACTATAAAACATAAAATTATACATAGTATAATTATTCTTCTCTTAATTTGCATTTGCAAAAGTAAAACGAAAAGCCTTTGTTCATTTAACTAACTGCTATAAATGGGAAATGTTTTGAACTGTCCTGGATAAAAGGTCGAACCTTCTGCGCTTTAGTTAATGCCCTCTACTCTTTTCCCATGTCCTTGTCTGATTTGTGCCTCTCCAGCTGAACCTTGCGTGTCGGTTGGATTACATTCGCTTTGTGGGTTAGAGACAAATGGAAGCTGGATTCATTAGTAAGAAGGCTGCAAATATGAATGTATATATAGTGGTAGCCAAAACAGTCACTGATAGTCACAAAGCGCATAAAACCTAACAGAGCCAAGTCTAAATGTATTGGAAATATAGCCTGGGGTTGATCTAATTTGTATACACAAACTTCTATCTTCCGTTAGTCCAATAAATTATAAGGCGATGTCTAATTCTACATATTACTGTCCCCCTCCTCACTCCGTGACCCTATCTTACATAAGAGCTCTGCTACAGTGTCTATGTATTTTACTTTGAGGGAGAACAAAGGAAAGTAAAAAAGAAAAAGTGGAGTATTTTAAAACCCACGCATTCTGTGTTCATAATCGACAAAAACAAGACATTGCAATGTGACTTTAGAAATTCTTGTCCCATGTGAATTGTGTGTGAAAAACGAGTGTGTGAAACACCAGAATTACAATAACTCCCTTCATTTAAGCATGACATTTTTATCAACGTTCACATGATTACCCATTACATTTATTAGTTGCCATTAGTGTTAGGGGTTAAAATTACAGGGTTTCTGTTACTTTTCAGATCTCCAATGGCAAACATTGAAGATAGGATCATTTTTAACCAGGCAGAGCTTATTTAAGAATACTTGTTGAAATCCTCTCCTCTAATATTCCATACCTAATTATTGGGGACTTCAACATTCCCATTAACCTACCCTTGTCCTCAACAGCCTCAAAACTGCTTTCAATGACCTCCTCCCTTGGGCTATCACAGTGGGCTAAGTCCCCCACCCATGTAGCTGACAATACCCTTGATCTTATTTTCTCCCATGAATGTACAATCTCTAATCTCTGCAATACTCAATTTCCTCTCTCAGATCACCACCTCTTATCATTTGCTGTCAATAGCCCCCTACCCCATCATCCTCAACCTAACCCCCTTCAACTAAGAAGAAATCTGAATTATATTGACCTCCAGCAGCTATCAGCTAATATTGATTCCCAACTTCTATCCATCCCTACGTTCTCCTGTCCCTCGCTTGCTATCTCCTCATATATCACTACCCTCACCTCTGCCCTGGACGCTGCAGCCCCACTCCAAACATGCACCTTCAGGAGAACACGCCCCCAACCGTGGCACAATAAATCAACACGCTACCTGCAGACAGGGCCGGATTAACATAGGGGCTGATGGAGCTGCAGCTCCAGGCCCAGGCCCATGGAATAGGCCCATTTAAACAGTACTCTTAGGTTTGCCACCTGACTGGTATTTTACCAGCACAGCCGGTATTTGAGGCTGCCTGGCCGTTCCAGTAATACAGTAATACCAGAAATGCAAATGAAGATATTTTTCTCAGTATAAATGGAGATTACTCTGCAATACCAGCACCAGCCAGCAGGGGTCACTGTTTGTGTGGAGAGAGGCAGGGATAGGAAGTTACAGCATATCCCTCCCTGCCTCTCTCTACTCACTGATCCGCTGGGGAGCAGCTACACAGCACAAAGAGTTCAGACAGCAGCTCCCAGCCTGCAGAGACAGACTACAGCTCAGAATACATGGGTATACTGAG